TTCTCATATATCGCTTTCGAAATAAACAATATTGATATAGGATTATACAATATTATTTTTAATACTAATAATGACCAATTTTAAACTATAATATTATTGGTTCCTTGTAAAATATCCAAGTAGCTCTCTAATCCAACAATGTGGGCTGATAATGATTTTAAAATTTAAGCTTCCTTAATATTCTAACTATATATAAATATTAAAAATAATAATTTAATAGAATTAGAATAATGTAGAGAGAATAAATGTAAAATAGAGAGTTAGAAACTGTATTCAAAGAATTAGAGATGGATGTAGATGTATTAATTTAATATTGTAATCATTTTAGATTTGTTTTGATAAAATGAATAATTTGATTGACTAAATATTCATTAGTGATTATCCAATTTCTAAAATTAATAATCCTAAATTTGAGTATTCTTTGCCAAAACTTGATTAATTCAATTTCATAGGTTAACCCATCTTTTAATCAAACATTCTTTAATAACTTAAACCATTAATCAATTCAACAATCAAACATCAAATTTAATTATAATCAGATTAATAACATTTCAATTAATAATAACAATAATAGATAATATCAATTCAATCTCCATCCTCTTAATTTCATTCAAAACCATTTGTTTATTAAATAATTCAACATAATTCAATTAAGTAAGACTAATATTGTTATGCAATTGCAATTAATAAAGATAGTTCAATTGTAGCAGTTAGTGGTTCTAATGAAATAAAAATATATGAATTCAAATAAGGAATAATGAAACAAATACAAATCTTAAATCAACATACAAATACTGTATTGACTTTAAATTTCATGAATAAATCAAATTAGTTAATATCTGGAGATAATGGTGGATCAATTGTAATTTGGTCAAGCTATAACAATAATTAATGGAATTCCTCATAAATAATTAAAGGACATAGTAGTTGTATTCATTGTTTAATTTTGAATATTAATGAAGATCTTTTTATCTCTAGTAGTAACGATAAAACAATTAAGTTTTGGATTAAACAGAATGAATGGATTTGTTAATAGACAATCACTGATCATACTGGTTATGTTTGTTAATTAAGTTTAAATGAATAACAAGATAAACTTATTTCTTGTGGAAGTGATAAGACAATATTAGTAATTGAATATTCGGAATAAAATAAAAGGTGGATTGTCATACAAAATATAAAAGTAGATTAATAGGGTTATCGATTATGCTTTATCAACAATGATTAATTCACATTTCAACCGAAATATGGCAATTTGATGGATGTCTATGAGATGAATAGTGTAAGTAAATAGTTCACTAGAACAAAACATATTACTATAAATTAAGGTTATGATGATTGCCATTTATTTCCATAATAATTTATTAAATAAAAATAGATATTAGTGAATAAACATGAGAAATGTATCAATTTAATAAGAAAGACAGAAAATAATGAATTTAAACTTGAGTAATCTATTCAATTTAATCATAATTGTTTATTTGGGTAATTGAGTGATGATGGACAGTATTTAATTACTTGGGAT